GGCGTAGAAGCCTCTTTACAGGTTAAGAACTTCTAAATAAGGTATTAGTTCCTTAATTACTTTGTAAGTAGAACTGCTCGTAGCTTATACAAGGCGTGCAGTAGCTGCAAGTAGTATATTATATTTGCAACTTTCCGAGTTGTAAGTGTATGTAACTGCAAGCACATGATTGCACACTAGATTCTTAAAAAAAGATCATTCAAATTAAAGCGCGTATGCAGGTTAGGAAAGTCTAGGTACGCAGATTTGGATTATACTTGTTGTCCGAGCCGGGTAAGCAAGGTCTAGAAGTATCTAATCTATCCCAAGAGATGGCTACCTCGGTAGCGAGTTGTCTAGGTTATAATACACTCTACTTTACCTAATAGGTACTATTACACGCGATAATGCCCGTTACCTATCTTACTATCGTTACACTTGATATGATGCGATGATACATGGGTTCCGATAGCCACGACAATTGTACCAGCCTGTTTATATGCTCAGCCGGCGACATCTCCGATGATAACAAGCCAGAACAGCAATATCTAATACCTCCTACGATAGAAGATGACGGCCCTGGCACGGGGTAGCACAAAGGGTCTCCTACCTACATCGTTCTTGTCCAAAGAAATAGAAGATAACAACCACAGCGATCACGCGGAGTCGGAGTGATACCACCAGAGCCGCACCACAATTAACCAACGGGCTGTCATAGTCATCGGATAAAAAGCCATGGTCGTGGAGCCGCACACTAACACATCATCCAACGGGACGCATGCCAACAGCCGAGGATACGGAAGGTTTTCAAGATGAAACAGTATCAAGTGTCCAAGTCTCGGTTGCAACAATACGGAGTATCGTCCATAGGTGTGATTTCCTGACCTGCCTGTTCGCGGTACGATCACCCGATGGGCTGCAGTCCGCCTCGTGACGAGCCCCATACAACGCGCTTCTATGCCAGCGGAAGAGCGCGATACTTTGTAAAGGTCCGAGAGTGTTCCCGTTGATACGGCTACAATACGACTACGCAATGCCATCCCACACCAATCTGTCCATGATCATCGTCTCACATGCGTCGAGAGATCCTGGCCATGTCCCGACCCCCACGCGTGTCAAACGGGTTCCTCGTGCCTTGCACCGTGGAAGTAACGTTCCAGAATGAAATCCGCCTGTTCTCCGGAGTCACTTGGTAGGGTATCCTTGCTGTGGAGCCAGATCTGACAAGCGCTTTTCCCGAGATTCGTCCTGTACCTTGCTGGTGAATGCCAGCAGGGATGGAGCATGACAAACGTCTCGAGTGATGCGTGCGTGAAGGTCAAGCGGATCGGCATGTACTGCATTTTAGACTTCCGTCCCGGTGCTTTGGTGGCGGTGCGGCTGGGAGAAGAGCGTTGCAAGCGTCGTTGAGCGCAGCTCCTACTTTTCATAGACGTTGAACCATCGCGTCTCTTGGGCCAATGCAAGTCGCCGAGGTACCAAGACCCGGGGACACCGACGTGGAAGCTGATCTTATATTCTTTTGCGGCAGGGACTGACGTGAGATGAAGCAAGTCGGGATGTGGTGGGAATCGGAGATCGGTTAGTAGACGCCGTAAGGACGCTAGTCCTGAAATGGGATCGCGCAGACTCTATCAATTTAGTTGACGTTTTTCCAGAACCCAACCTGCCAGCGCGGACCGATTCACTGACACTCCTGCCTCAGCTTTCCCACGCGAGGCGCTCTCGAGCACGACTGTCACAATCCATGGTTTGATGCATGCCGGGAAGTGACGGAACCCAAATACGCTTTTCACCACTCAGACGGACGAGATCTTCACTATGACGTCTAGAAGAGTTTTGAGGCTTCTCATCCTCGTAGCTGATCCTCCGCATGGGATAAGATGAATGCGAAAAAGCGGGGTCGCGGCAAGGGCCTGTACGCGTCCGCGCTTAGGAATATTCGCATACCGGGTACCATGTATACACTGAGGTGTTATGAACGGCTATCGCCAATTTATCCATCTTCACCCCAGGGTTTCGTCGTCTCCTTTGTTTACAAACTTGGACCGCAACGATGTTGAAGACGTTTGACAGCAGCACTATGAGTGAGGTGACAGGTAAACCTCATCCAAAGGGTTCCGACAATTCGGCGACGCCAGCGAATCCAACGTCCGCGGTCCCACAGCCTACGGCACCTCCCGAGCCCCCTCGCCGCCAACAGATGCGCAGCTGCGACTCATGCAAGCGCGGAAAACGAGCCTGCGATGCAGACAAACGCGTCGACTTTGCGAACCAGACATGCTCCAACTGCCTTCGGAAGAACCAAGTCTGCACCTTCAACTGGTTGAAGACAGCATCGGTGAACCATCCAGAGCGAGAGAGGAAGAGGAGGCGCTCAGAGGAGAAGAGTGATAGTGATCAGCTCAAACAACACGCAGCAAGTAGCTCTGCCAGCTATCAGTATCAAATACCGCCTGGATCCATCGCGAACGAAGCTCAATACGACCTGCAAGACCGAGGCACACAGTGGTCATCATCTCAAGACGAAGACGAGACGCGCGAGGACTACTTCAGCAACCCGCCGAGTGACGACGTGGATAACATATCCAACGAATCGATACCCTTGGTGGATCTAGACTCAGTGCAATCGGGGAGGAACAATGAGCAAGGATTGCTCCAGTCGCGCTACTCGCGGAGAAACTCTTTCGCTCTGCGTCCCCATCGTCGAAACCAGAGAGACGATGCCTCATCTCCATTCATGGACATACTGTTGGGGGAGAGAACATCTCGGGGGTTTGTGACCAACGGGCTATTACGCATCTACAACGACAGCATGGAAAACTCTCTCTCATGTTGGCTCACAGAGCACAACTGCCCGTACACGATGACGCGCTACAAGCCGTCTCTCCTCTCGGCGAGTAAGGCTACACGGGAATGGAGTGGTACCTGGTCAAACAGAATGTACAACCGTGTACTTCAACTTGATCGAGCCTACGCATCCCTTCGCATCCGGAAACCAACAAACGAGGAAGAACGTACAATCTCCAAAGCACTCAACATGGTCATTATGTCTTTCGCATCACAATGGGCTCAAGCGGGCGAAAGAGGGGCAGGAGGTCGTGCGACTGACCATCAGTTTACGGCAGACAGGTTTCCCCAGTCGAATGAGTTTGAGCGATCCATGCAAGAGACACTCTGGCATCAAACAGCTAAGCTGCTACACGAGGCTGCTGACATCGGTTCTTTCCGAGTCATCTTTGCCTTGATCATCTTCTCGCTGACCCAACGGCCCCTAGACACCACACAGCTACATGCACGTACGGATCCCAGGTTACGAACGCATTACGAACACTTTCAAGCCCTAGTACAAGACGATGACGCCCCTATATTCTTGGAGATAGCTTTGCGACAGCTACTCGCCCAACGACGGAGACTGGAACGCGTAGAACAAGACCTGGGACGAGACCCCCTTCAGCAAGAAGACAGAGATACCTTCAACCTTTTGTACTGGTTTGGCGTTATGTTCGATACCCTATCCGCAGCGATTTCCCAACGACCAGTAGTGGTCGACGATGAAGATAGCGAATTACCACCTCCAACCAACGACACGTATACCGAGCCATTCACATGGTCTGATCCTCCTACCACTTACACGCACCAATTTGCAATGCCGACAAATCTTTCCAACCTTTCCACTGACCCTCAAGCAACTCAGGCCCAGGAAGGCAATGCGGTGTGGGGTGATCTCTTCACGCGCGATGGCATACTGGAAGTGGACCCTGGAGCAGCGCGATGGCCATGTAGCTACAAGGTCGCCGCCGCAACACTCAGCTCCGCCGCACCAGTGAAAGTACTACTATACAGACGCGTCGCACATCTCCAAGCGTTGGTATCGCGGAAGGTTTCGCCAGCTAGGATTGAGGTGAGTACAGAGATATGCCATTCCCTTCTTCGTGGCCTCTAGCTGACAATCTCACGCGCAGTCAGGTATAAACGGCGCGTTCCACGTCTACAACCACTGGCATCGCACGTACGCGCCCTTCTTCTCCGACTGCGTAAAGCACCACGCCACCCTCCCCACACGCGTACAATCCTGGTACACACTGATAGCAGGCCACTGGCATCTGGCCACCTTCCTGCTTTCCGACTTACTCCTCACAATCGACAAGACGAAACTGTCTTCCCCGAACGAGCGTACCCTCCGACAGTCATCAAACCTCGTGGATACCCTGCGCCGCCAAAATGCACTGGCAGTGGCCGACCTGAGTCTCGCTAGCATACACAGTGTAAAAGAGAAAGAAGGAACAGATGATTTCCACTTTGCGCTCAGCCAAGCTGCGCTGTTGACAGAGCCGTGGACTGTGGCTTTTGTGCGCTCGTTATGCAGAGCCGGGTACGTGTTGGTGCAGGTCGTGGCCTCGGAAACGATCGAAGAGGAACGCGATCAAGCGATACGGAGATGTCGCGATTGCATCGAGGGTCTCTGGTATCTGGGTCGCAAATCGGATATGGCGTTTCTGGCTGCGCGTTACCTGTCGGATATGCTGGATGAGGCGATACGCGATACGAGTGCACGGACGATGGCGGAGGAGATGGGCAGTGATTCTGCGACTGTGTCGTCTCAGTTTGGTACGAGCTCGAGCCCTGGGACGGATGCGGGGATACCGGGGTATCAGCAGCCGTTTGGTTCGATTGGTGCTTTTCCATCGTGGTCGGATGCGGACTTGATGGGGAGTTGTCAGCCGGGTACTAAGATCGACGAGGGTGATGTGTTGAATATGGAGACTCCTTTGAATGTTGATAGCGCCTTGCTTTGGGACTTTAGTCTGCAAGGGTAACGACATGTTTCTAGCAATATGAGAAGCAAGAACTACCCGACGAGCCTGGAGGTGCTCGTGAGATCCATCGATGACTATTCTCTTCCAGTTCGTTCACGACAAGCAAGACAAACATCGCAACAACGAAGCTCGACCATGTATATTTGCATTCCTCAGATGCTCGACAGAGCATCGTAAAATCTACCTACCACGAATCCCACCATGCAACAATCCCTGGGCGTTTCCGATCCCTTCGAGCGCGTTCGCCTTGTCAAGAACATACAGTCTATGTGGAATGTCGCAAACCCTACAGACATCATTCCGGAGGGTATGCAATACCCTGGGCACATCATCGCCTGGCCTCTACCCATCCTCCGAGCCATAAGCTATCTAGCCAGTGGTATGCCGGGCGATGGGGGACGGCATCGATTCGTGGAACTCCTTAACCTCGGCCACATGACGAGGATGGCAGACGAGTCGACTGCCAACAAACCGCAGCTACAATCATCCGATCTGGAGTTTGTCCGAGACAGCGTTGGATTGCCACCGGCGGCTATGCCAGTAGAGGAGGAAGCCGCCCCAGCCCAGAATGATGTTGCAACCCCCCAACCACGTCCACAACGAATACTTCCAGAAGATGAAGATGACCCGGAGACCTTGATGAAGAAGCAGGACCTGTGGATCAAGTACTACTGGAACGTCACTGATATTAAAGCCCTTGTTCCCCCACACATGCGGCAGCTAGACAAATTTGGAAAGCCGACCAATAGGCCGCTGCACAGCTGCAGCGACCAAAAGAATCTGACGAAGTTACTTTACCAGCTAGCTCGCATCACAAAAAGTCGAAAGGATGTAGCATGGGCGCAGATAGAAAACGCGTGGAGGGCAAGACCAGCAGGCCGTGGAGGAGGCAAAGCGTTTGCAGAACCAGACGTCAAAGCCGCTCTTGATTACTTCCGTGAACTACGTGAAAAGAAAGAAGAAGAAGAAGACTCTTTGATCGACAGTCGAGGGCAACTACCTATTGCACCTTCAAACCCCGACGGGACTACCGGAGAGGAGGGCCACGATGGCGCGACGAACGCCCAGCGGGGAGGTCAGCATCTCGATAGAAGGCAACAGAAAAGACAACGACGCGAAGCTCCAGCCACCGAACCCAACACCCAAGACAGTGCCGATCTCCAAACGCTACTGCCGGGCGTGGATTTCCCAGAGGCAGAGCTCCCTTTGGCTCGCAGCCGACGCTCATCGGTCGTGGCAAGACGTGGCAACGATCGCACAAGTATCATAGCGAGCCAGGACGCCACGGTTGACAGGACTACATTGAACGTAGAAGAAGCGGGTCGAGCAGCGACCTTGCCGCTAAAGAGGAAGAGACGGTATTCACTAGACGAAGACGAGGCAGACGTTGATGAGGAAGGTGGCAAGACGGATGATGACGAAAAGGATGAGCTGGAGCCAGAGGAGGTGCAAGAACCACCAGAAAACTAGGCCGTGCCGTTCGAGACGGAGGACGCACCACAAGATGGTCAAGTAGAGGATGGCGCAAGAGGTTAAAGCAATGTAAATAAGACATAGTGCAAATTAGATCTCAGGCTAGTACATGACTGGTAGTGCCCGCAACTGTCACGTGTAATTGTAACATTCCAAGTTGTTTATTGCTGCGCCTCAGTGGCGCGTGGGGCTTGACCGATCCGGACATGTACCAATAGACGTGTGGCACACTGCAGATTCAATGTCGCACAGCAGTAAAGGTACGGACATGGGTAACTCGAAGCCTCTGTGAGCTGTTCCTTCGAACGCCGCGCAACTTTGGGGTTTGAAAGGAAGTTACCCCGCATTGTTCGCTGTTTCGCTCTTGCCAAAAGCCTAACCGCCCCAGCTTCAGAATGACGAGCGAGAATCCCGCCTCATATACGCATGCACCAACTCAGGTAAGCAATTTTGGACGTCAAAGAAGCGGACGAGGCTAATACTATGTTGTAACTCGGTAGCATACACTTTCAGAAGTGGATACTACCCCCAAAGATATTCTTATCACGATCGGAGATGTCAAATACGATGTCGACCTCTCGCAGATACCTTATCTGTCGTCCTTTGACGATTTCCAAGCCAAAGCCCAGCCCGACGCGACCGAGTTGGTCCACGGCCCAATACCACTTTTCGACGTAGCTTTGAAGGGAATCCAATCGGGTTATCGTCAATGCTTCAGGAATCTTCCCCCCGAACTTCAACAGTACCACGTTCTATGCGAAACATACGAGTTTCTCGGCATTAATGTCCTCGAAAAACGACGTATCGACCAGATCTTCAGCGATCTGAGGCTCTGCAAGATAGATTGGGACCCAGAGGATGAAGATACCAAGGGTGTTAAGTCGAAAGCACGCGACGCCGCTTTCAGGTTGCTGTATCTCATCCTGCTGGGCGAGTTTGAGGATGATAAAATGAATGGCGACAAGGCATACAACGCAGTGTTGTTCGTGTTATCGCATCCCGCGACGTTCAAGTCAAGAACAAGAGCCGTAGTTCGGGCGGCGTATGAGGAACGTTTTGTTGTCTCGCAGAAGCAGATAAAGAGACTAGATCAATGGCTGAAAGGAGATACTGCAGATGAAAGCGAAGAAGCTACCACTACAGATGAGGAATCACCTGAGGATTACTACGGATCAGATGAGTGCTGTGAATCGGATTGGTCGTAGGGATTGGGAAATTCGTGCTGTTAGTCAGAAAGTCATGCTTTCATTGTCAAAGCCCTGGCGGTCACGTCACTCGATCAAAAGAGATGTGATACGTAACCACGGATGCTTGCTGTCTTCACGGGTAATCACAGTCTTTTGCATTATCCCGCGTGACAGTAGCAAATAAAATACTGCCATCTTAACCATCTATATCAGTAGTAGGAATGCTCTCCTGTCCGTCTCAAAATCCTCATTTCACTGTCGATAATACCATGTATCTACCAAAAGAGCATCTCGACCGTGACGAGCGACTGGATCTCGCGACGAAGATTACATCTCAGCGGGAAACCACTACCAAGAGCACTGCGTGTATTCCACTATCTATGCGCTACATCAAAGACCTTCAGTGGTGGCCTATTGAGATCTTGCGGGCCTTGGGTAACCTCGCCGACGAAATGCCCGGTATCGACGACTGGAATAATGTCTACGATCTACTGGTAGAGGGCAAAATGAAGAGGATGAAGGACAGTTCGAACACCTCGTCAGCAGAGATACACCTGAGCGACATAGAATTCGTTCGAGAGCGCGTTCGGGCGGGAGAAGGGAAGGGAAAGCAGAATATGGTTGACACAACTATGGACGATGACGGTATGTTCATATTTCATACATTGTTTGAAGTCGCAAAAGAGCTAACTTGCGCAGAAGCAGATTCCACCCGACACACATTTGATGATACGAGGTAGTCCATCCGGCTGATGATACAGACGACGTCGATGCCGCTATCGAGCCGGGCGTGACTTCTGGAGCAACTCTTCTCCTAAACGCAACCAATGCCCTTCCACCAGCTATACTCCCCTCCGAAGATTGTTATTTCGGTCCTCATCCATCAAGCTGCTCGCACGAGTAACAAGATGTCTTAGAACCGCCTCAGCCAAGGCGTAGCAAAGAGGTTACGTACTACTAAGAAGTTAGCAAAATATCTTAAAAGCTATCCGTGGCGGCGACTTTACCCTACCCCAAGGCCCTTCCGAGCCATCATAGCATACTCCTAACCCTTCACTTCCGGCACAGCTTTTGACACCACAACCCCAAATCGACATTTCGTCTCCCCAACGCCAGATCTCGCACAGTATTTACACCCAGAGCCATCACCGGGATCACCACTGCAACGTATCTTCCTCTCCCGGCAACGGGTGCACGTTGTCTTGGCTTGACGACTCCTCACAGCCAGCCGTTGCTCTTCGCTCAGTGGTCCAGGTCTCCGCTTGGGTGTTTGTTCGCGGCTTGCTGCATTGTCCAATTTGTGAGATTCCGGACGCTCGACTCCAGATTGTCCCTCGTTGGCGATCAGTTCTGGTTGCTTATCGGACTGAGTGGATGTGTCGGGCTCGTTGTCAGGGGAGGGTTGAGATGGTTGACGGTCCGCAGTAACAGCTTCCTCTTGGTCTCGCATTGGTACTTCAGTTTGTGATATTCTCTAGGGTGCTTGTGTGGAAGTGTTGAAATGCTCTGTCCTATCAAGTGCGCTGATATGGCGGCTTACAAGAACAACGAAGGCGTGACCTACGATGCGAACGATGAAGCAGAAGAGAAGATTGGTCCAGCCTGGTCATATCTTGGGTCAGCCGCGCTTTTGAGTGGAGTTTGATGTGTGACAGCCATCTGCGTGTCAGCTACTACGTCTGTCGTGAAACATTGGCTCGACTAAATTGAGGAACCTATGACTGGTTATGGCGTGGGATGCATTGGATGAGGGCATGTATAGCCAGCTTGACGCATACCAACATTCTCGCGCGTCTTTTGGATGAGATAAAGATCATGTTTTACAAGAAGTCTGATAAATACATTCGAGCCGCGACCGTGCAGCCCCATAGCCTTACATACTGCCGAAGCATCTCGTGGCAGAGCTATTGAACCCTAATACTTTCGATTCATACCATGAGAGAGTGCGAAACACCGTTGCAGCTGCGTGATATCCTGTAAACACCCCCGAGGCTGGCGGCTGGCGAATTGGACCTGATGGATCAGGTTTCTAGTGCTGATACTAGACAATGTTCTGTTCGCCATCTTGCCAGAGGGTTTCATGCGCCTCATATCAGGAAGCAGAGTATGAGCAGAAGTTTGAACATTTAGCGAGGCCTCTCGCACCCTCCGTCGGTCTGCGAAAGTACTTGTTTCTCTTAACACTCGTGTCGTAGGTCAGATCCGGAATAGCGCTGGGAGTCAACGGCAACGAATTCTTCCGCGGGGACGCTCCATAATTTGATCCTTTGCTCTCATAGACTGTAGGATCAGTTGGGTCACATCGTCACGCTCAGATGAGTCGCGACAATTCTAAAAATTGTTAAAAAAGGGTAGACAACTTGATGGCTCGTACACACCTCCAATAGTGCTCTGAGCTGGAAAATATAAAAGTAGAGGAACTTCATTTCCTCCCAGGTCTCTCGATAGCACAATATGTCCATCCACGCGAAGCATTGTTCCATGAGAATAACGAGAGGGATACCCGAATCTTCATAAACCGCTTTAGGTACGTAGTCACTTTTCAGTATGAGCCCGTCAATGAGAGACCTGTTATGGTAAGGATTATAATGCCGTGGATCGCCTTCCACGATCGTTTCATGTGAAAAGGTTATCAAAACCTCAATCGATCTGTAGAGCGTATAAATACGCAACACTTTTTCTCCGTCCGGGCACACAGCACTTTTGCCAGGACCCAACAGGTAGTCTTTGGCAGATTGGTGGACAAAGAGGACTTTGTCATTCTGCTCTGACAGGAATGACCCACATTCTCGAACGATGTCTCGCATTGTTCCTACTTTATCCCCAACTTCATCTAGCTCTTTCACGAAATAGGCCAATTCGTACGTCTCAAGAGGTCTTGGTGATGTCAGCACGACCCCGAGCACAAACTTGTAAAGCTTCGATTCCGGCTCATCTAAGCTCTGAACTTGCTGGAGCATCCTTCCATACAGTTGTTCGAGCCCAGGAGGGAAGGCCTGCATGTCCTTTTCGTAGAACACGCGTTTCGAGACCTCCAACCTCTTGCAGACTAACGCTACCCATAAGAAGGTCCCTCCAGCATTCTTCTTTAGGTAGTCGCGGATCGTTTCGGTATCCGTTGGGCCCAATCTCTTCTTATCAGTCAACGCTTTGACTTTGTGTTCGATGTAGGTATCGACTGCATCAAGTATAGCTTCGGATTTGGGATCGAGTTGAAGATGGAGCATTTGAGGATGCTCAGTAAGCACATCGCGAATATCGTTCCAGCCGCGTGAGGAGATTATCCACTTGGTGTGTGGTAGCTTTCTTGAAATCTGTACAATCAGTTCCAAGAGTCTTCTACGATCTTCGGGGTCGATGCATTCGTCCATAGCGTCTATGATGAGGTAGATTTTCCCATGTCGTATGTATAAGTCGTCCAGCATACTGGTAATGATCCCGGACAGAGCCGTCCATGTATTCGCGTCGGCGAATAACTTTTCGCCCACGCGATCATACTCCAGCCGTACATAGCGTACAAGTGAGGGCTGCTGACCGATCAAATGATGAATGAGACCCCGTAAGACTGCCGTCGCGTTGTTGTTGTTCGGTTCCGATGTCTGGCAGAAGAAGTAAGATATGAGATCATCCGCCGCCACGGTTTGTTCGAGTGCGTCAATGATTCCGCACATAAGCATGGTTTTGCCTTGACCGGGTGAAATAGAAGTTATTAGTACGTATTCCTCATCAAACCACGTCAACCTAGGGAAAACCTGAACAGGTCTGGAGCCTACATCGACGCCAGGCCACCTATGTTGTATGCTTTTATGTTGATGTAGGCTGCAGACCTGTTCAATTTTTCCCTTATATGAGGTGAAACCACGACATCGAATGCTGCTAACTCACCCTTCAACCCAGAGTAATCGCTCTTCACGGTCATCCCGCCAACGCCGATAATCCGCGTTGTCAAGTATCCATCGGAAAGAGGCATCCAATAATCCTCCTTTTGCATGTTCGAGCCGTTTTTTATCGTGACTGGGGTTCGTCAGGAACAGGTCTCGGAGACACTCGTTGTCGTCGGCAGTCTTCGTATACGCCAGAGAGTGCGCCGTTTGTTCCTGGATACTCGTCACAATGTTATGCAGGCTGATGTCCTGTGACTCGGCTTTCTCCGCGATAGTTTGGAGTTGGTTGCGGATTTCATGCGTGTTGAATTGAGCTGCATCTTGGCGTATCGATTCTTCCTTCTCCTTGATCGCAGCCAGCTCACCTTCCCAATCATCCCACTTGACAAGGTCTCTTGCAAAGACAGTGCCACGCCGGCGATGATATGTGATGATACTGTTGATCTGGTATGCCAGGAGACGAGTGTAAAGGTCGACGAGATTCTTCTCGAGTTTATCTTGCAGCGACTGCGATCGTCGGGCTTCTTGATTTCTCTCTAGGAGAAGATCAGCTAGGTGCCAGTACCAATCCATCCTCGATATGACGTAAGCAATTCCATCTCTATTAGAAGACTGTTGGGTGAGTGGATTCATAAGTATCTGACATGCATCAGCCATGTGCTTGCATCATCAAAGTTCGCCAGCCATACGTCAAGAGCAAGGCAGATCGGTACCCAAGCTATAGAGGCTTCTGGAGAAGCTCTGGTAGCTGTTGCGACGCTATCCTTGACGACATTGAACACCTGCAGGCCTTGCGCGAGTGCTTCGTTAGTCGTAGCTGCCTTCTCCGTCCTGAGCAATCCAGAGTCAACGAGCTGTCGCATCTGCAGTGATCTTGACTGCCCTAGGCTGATCTCGTTGATCTGTGTATCGAGGTTCACGGCCTTAAGCTCTTGTCCATCAATTTGGCCTGACAGGATGCCCTCATAGTGTTCGATCAATTTCGGATCCTTTGATTTGAGTTGGTCGTATGCCAGGTTCCATAGACGTCCGGGTAAGCTCTCCGCTACCAGTTCTGGGTTACTGGTGCTCGTTGACTGGAGATCCGTCGTGGAGGAGGTTTTCGGCCCCTCCTCGCTCCGCTTCTCTTGCAAGTCGTCACTGGTGGGCACAGCGACTTGTGGTACCGGTGTCCTAGGCCTCTCTCGGCCCTTTCGGCGGGAAAATCTGAACAAGTTGCAACACCCCATTATTGCGGAAGGTATGGAAGGCGAGTATGAAGTAAGGCGAATTGGGAGGAAGAAACAAGGTGCAATACAGCCTTGCAGCGACTGTGCCGCATGAAGCATGCATGCGGGGGCCTACTTCGACATCATTGGCCGTCCACCCACCATCCGATAGCATGCATAGGGAAAGTATGTCGTCGCAAATTAACCAAGGCTGTACTCATCCGATGTAGCAATCGATGATTGGATCAGAAGGGCTTGTACGCCGAAGCGTGCATACATGCCGTTGGCTTCGGGTGCAGTGAACGCCACCCTCGAAGAGTGCGCCATCTTATTGGTGTCAGATCTTGCACTGGAGTCGGATGCCGTCGCGCGGTGTTGGGGTGATGGAAGTGAAGAACGTGGACGCGTCGATGCCGTCTGAGGTTTGTAGCGCGACTTCCTGCCCATCTTATCAGCGACTAGCGGCGATAACGTCATCGATCACCAACGCCGACAGCCTCACGCGTCCCATCCCACCCGCGCTCAAACCGGTGGAACAGCATATTAGCTAGCACAGTATGTCGGGCACCTCTTCCTCTTCAGAGAAGATAACCCAGATCTACACCCCCAACCCCTCCGGCACCGAACCCGCCAGCACCCAAGCCGTCATCTCAGCACTCAACCTCCAGGTACACGTCGAAGGCGGCTACTATGCGGAAATCGATCGCAACCCGCTGACCATTCCCAACCCTTTCTTGGTGAAGAACGGCGGCGATGAGAAAGATGATGTGAAGAACACGGCGGAGAAACCCATGTCAGGTGACAATGCAATCAGAAACGCGAGCACGAGCATATACTACATGTTGAGTGCAGTGAATCCTCAGGGACACTTTCATCGGAATAAGGGGAGAACTGTACGTATGACCCGACCATCATTGCCTACGACTGCGTGCGGCAAACACAAGGTATTTGGGGACTATACCTGCATTCAGATTATCATGTAGAGTTACATGACCGCATTTTGCGGCCCTGCCCTGTATTGTTCTCCATGAAGTAACCCTATCATTCAAGTCCTGGAACGCACGCGGTGGTCGAATCGTTACCGATACTAATGGTCATACAAAGGTACACACCCTCATCTCAGGTCGAGGTCGTTACGTCCTCATCCACGCCGACGAGCCCGGCACTAAGAAGCGCATCGAAACGTTCGTGGTTGGGACTGATGTCACCAAAGGAGAGAAGAGTGTGTGGATTGTTGAGGGTGGGAAGTACAAGGCGAGTTTTCTGCTTGATGGAGCGGAGGGGGAGAGATTGTTGATCAGTGAGGTATGTGCTTTCACACATGATCGTTGACCACGTATTTCTGACTAACGCGACTTTTCAGACTGTAATACCCGGCTTTGAGTTCTCGGATCATGACTTCTTGACGATGGACAAGTTCAAGCAGATTGTTACGGATGAACAGGCGAAGGAATTGGAGTGGTTGGTGAGGAAATCATGAGACCGCACCCGGTATCAGACGCATCACGTCGAAGATGCAGATTCACCTGCAAAAAGCAAATGCGACGCTGATAACCTGCATTGACTGCCCAGGTGTGGCGAAACGCGATGTCGCGTCTTCACGTGTGCGTGATGAAATAATGGCGGGGCGCTATCGATAACGGGCAAAATTGTCGATATTCCGTCACGCAAGCCCACGCTCAGCGATTCTCTCAGCAACACAACCCAAAATGACTTCAGCATTCGGCCCAATCGCCGGTAAGTAGTCGCGCCTCTTTATACAGCAGATTTCTAACATTCCCCGCAGAGCAACACCAGGACAAATTCGACCTCGGAATCTGGCACGCGCTCTTCAACTGGAACAACCTCACCGTCGCCGTCCAAAACCAATGGGGCGGCCCCGACTCCTCGGATAAGCGCGACTGGCTCGCAGGCCAAATCTCCGAACTCTTCGCCGCAGAGCCCCTCACAGACCAAGAAGATGTGGAAGTGGTCCTACTACAAGTCCTCGAGGACGAGTTCGGCGTACGCGTAGAAGACGAGACCGAAGTCGCCGTTGCGCGCGAGATCATGGCGATACGGAAGGAGATTGGCGAGGGCAACACAGCGATGGTGGATGCGCTGCAGAAGAAGTGGGAAGATCGGAAGGGCAAGGAGGTTGCGACTGGGAGTGTTAATGTCAAGGAGACGAATCAGGACTTTGAGGGGGATAGTGTGGATGAGGAGACGGATGAGGACGAGGATGTTGATATGGATGATGCGCCTGCGCTTGTGCCTGCGAAACCGAAGGCGGCTAAGCCTGAGCCCGAGATCGACGAGGACGGCTTCACGACGGTGGTTGGCAAGAAGAAGAGATGAAGAGGAGAGGGAGGAAAGAGGAGCAGCGATACCAAGCCAGCTGAGGCAGTCGAAGTGTTATGGATGATGTGGGTGACCACTACATAGATCCCCATCTATGGGTGCACACAACAGACACCGAGCAGCGAGCAGCGAGCGCGCACATCAGCAGCAAGTGGCGACGCCATTAGGCCGGTGTGATGGCCATCTAGCAACATATTGGAAGAGGAAGTTCAGACTCAAAATGAATTCATCATCGTCGCGTCAACAGTCTCGACCATTGTTTGTGTAACGCGAGCGTGCCTGAGCTGGTGATGTACGCCCAACTGCTAGCGGCAATTGCGGAGCTTCATGCATGGCCCCGCCCGCATTTGACCTGCACCCTTGATTGACCCAACCAGCCTGTGTCTCACGACCACAACAACATCCTTAGCCCCCACCCTATACACAACCTCCCCTACACCTCGCCTCCCTTCTGGACAGTCGTAGCTATGGATTCCGCCTACGATCACATCCAGGAGGAGAGCTACCCGCAGGACCCCACCAAGCAGTCCGCCGGCGGAGATAACACCCACCAGGAGACGACCAACAACTTCAACGCCGAGTTCCAGGATGCTTACAAAGCTATATCGAGTAGCCCGTGGGCGGCGCGTCTAGGAGGATTTCTGGGGAATGTGAGGAAGCAGGTAAGACCGGCGTGTGGGATTCAAGCTACCCTTTCTGACCATGTGCGGTGTAGGGCGAGCAATACTACGACAACGCAAGCAAGCAATATGCGCCACAGGTCAAGAACGCCTCCGCCAGCGTCTCCAACATCATCAGCCACGCGCGCAAGATCTCCCTCCAACCCGGCGACGCCTCGAGCTCCAAATCTGCGTCCACCTCCCAAGACGCTTCCACCGAGAAAGCGACCGAGGACACAGAAGCCCACCCCGACCGTCCCGAATCCCTGACCGCAGACATTGTAAAGGAGGCAGAAGGCATACTATCGCGCTTCCGCTCCGAAGCCGCAAAACGCCTCAAAGACGTAGAAAAAGCCGAAGACGCCGCCGACGAAGCGCTCCTCAAATTCGGCAGCAACATCCGCAACTTCCTCCGCGACGCCGTCACCATCGCGCCTCCCGAAGCCGGTTCGCAAGCCGCCAAAGACGGCGATGTGCTATTCGAAAGCAAAGACAGCAGCGGCAAGAAGGTCGTTCACGCCACGCGCTTCGACGCCCAACTCCACGTTATCCACTCGACGCTCGATTCCTTCCTCAAAGACCCCGCGAGCCCGGAGTGGGAGAACTGGAAGGCGGGCTTTGATGTGGAGAAGAAGACTGAGGCTATTGCGAAGGATTTGGAGAAGCATGAGGAGTTGAGGAGTGCGATGGAGAAGTGTGTGCCGGAGAAGGTGGAGTATAAGGTGTTTTGGTGCAGATATTATTTCTTGCGCCATGTTATTGAGAGTGAGGAGCAGAGGAGGAGGGAGATGCTCAAGGGTGAGTTGCATCTACTACCCCTGGAAAGGATAGTAAAGCTAACATGTAAACAGCATCTACACCCGCCGCTGACGAAGAAGTAGCCTGGGACGAAGACTCGGAAGAAGAAGACGACGATGACGAAGACGAAGAAGAAGATGACGACGAAGACGATTCCTCCGAAGAAGACGACTCAGACGACGACTCCGACGATAACGCTACCGTTACCAAACCCACAACTAAATCCACCACCGCCGCTCCCTCCACCACAACCACAAAACCCGCCTCCGCCAGCACAACAACCAGCACAACCAAACCTCCAACCGACCTCGCGGCCTCCGTCAAAACCCTCAAACCCACAGACGACGCTAAACCAACACCCGCGCAACCCCGCCGATCAAACGATGAGAAGAGTGTCGCGGATAGCGACGCGAGTTATGATCTTGTTTCTGGGACGACGACGAGGGCGCCGGGGAGTCCGCAGGATGGGAAGGATGGGAAGAAGAAGGTTGTAACTGAGGAGAGCGATGAGGAGGAGGACTGGGAGTAGGGGGTTTGGTGAGGGGAGGGGATGGGATGGGATGAGGATGGGTGGAGGTGAGGGGTTGGAGGAGTAGGGGTGGGGATGAATATGTGAATATGAATATGAATGATGTGTGGTGTTTTCGGCGCGATGGGATTGTGTGTTTTGGTTATTTGTTGTGTGTTGATTGATGGGTAACTTGATAGGATAGTGACTTATGTAAGATTATCTTACTTTTTCGGTTTTATTGGATATTTGCCGAGAATGCTTGCTCGCTATGCTACGCTGATTCATACTAAACTGAAGGTGCATTCTACGAACAAAAGACAAGTGGTATCTAGAACGCCATTCTGATGCTGCACATCGCTCGCTTTACTGGACTTGAACATGAAATAAAGGACCAAATCTTCAAACCCCGCACATGCTCGCTCGTCGAACTCCGCCGTCGTAAAGATCGTTTTCTCGTTAGCCCGGTTCGAGTTACAAAGCTGTTAATTCGGTCTCGCCACGCTACTAGGCGGCGTATCAGGCGGCACACTACCTGTGCGCGGTATCGCTGTGTTGTTGCTTGACCTCCGCGAGAAGTTGGGCTGTTTCATCTGATTGAGATGCTGACCCGGTTGTGTGGTTGCCCGCCTGAGGAGTGGGCTCGGCGAGGAGACGTTACCCAGACTATGCCTTGCGGTGTGTGAGAACTCGGTGGAAGAATATGAGCGGACAGT